TGGTAAATTCCAACTCAGTGACTCTCTGCACAACAAAGGCAACACTGTCTGGTCCTACACCATCCTCACAATGGTTGCTATGTTTGCACCTGTTGTTGTAGCCACTGAGTTAATCCATCTCATTGGGAGTCTTCCTGGTTTTCACTGACACTCAACTTTACCAAGCATGATGCTTCTCCAGGACCTGGTTCCCCCAATGAGGTGTCCAAAGTGTGCGAGACAAAGTCTCACCACTGTTGGTTCTCAGGGATATTCTGGCTGCACTTTTTCCTACACAGACTTGTTTGTTGTGATGGCAGCCCATGAGATTGTCAGTATTTTGGCCAACACCCTATTTCAAAGGGATTGATTCTTCTTAGGTCTTCCTTATTCACTGTTCAGCTTTGGTATGCATATGTTGTTGTTTTTGTTGTTAAGTACTGTTGAGTTGATTCCAGCTCCTAGCAATCCTGTATAGGCTTTCCAAGGAGTGGCTGGTAAGTTTGAACCACCAACCTTGTGGTTCAAATCGACCTTGAAGTCGAGTATTTATCCTATGGCGCCACACCAGGACTCTGCATGCATGTGAGGTGACTGAAAATACCATGACTTGGGTTAGGCACACTTCAGTCCTCAAATAGACATCTTGTCTTCTTAATACTTTAAGAGGTTTCTTGCAGCAGAACTTCCCAATGCAATACGTTCTTTGATTTCTTGATTGATGTTTTCCATGTGTGTTGATTGTGGTTCCAAGTAAAACAAAATCCTTGACAGCGTCAATCTTTTCTCCATTTATCATAATGTTGCTTATTGGTCAAGTTATGAAGATTTTAATTTTCTTTATGTGGAGGTGTAATCCATACTGAGGGCTGTAGTCTTTGATCTTCATTAGTAAGTGCTTCAAAACGTAGCCTTCAGCAAGCAAGGTTGCGTTACCTGCATATCACAGGTGGCTAATGAGTTTTTCTCCACTCTGGATGCCACATTCATCTTCACATAGTCCATGTCTCAGATAATTTGCTCAGTATTCCGAATGAACATATATGATGAATGGACAAAACCCCAACATACATTCCTGATTATAAACCACACAGTATTCCCCTGTTTTGTCTGAATTACGTCTCTTGGACTCCGTACAGTTTCAGTATGAGCACACTGAAGTGTTCTGGAACTCACATTTTCCTGGTGTGGCACTGGAGAATCAGGGTTGGACTGGGACCCAGAAGGGACTGCTCCTATATAGGGCTGCTATGAGTCAGAACCAACTTGATGACCCTTAACAACAACATACTCAAATGCCTTTGCACAGTCAATAAAACACAGGTAAGCATCTTCCAGGTTTTTTCTTCTTTCAGCCAAGGTCCATCTGGCATTAGTAATAAAGCTGTATTATCATCTTTCCTCAACCACAATCCTATCTCTTTGTAGACAGGCATATCCTGTCTCTTTGTCCCCTGCCCAGTGATGGTAGGACCTTGATGGATTGAGTTCTCCATCCCACAGGCTCCCGCCATGTCCTGAATCTGATAGATGTCGAGATGGGATGTCACAAGAAGCACTGTGCCCACCATTGGGTCCTGTGCAAGCAGAGGACTGGTTTACTGGACTCCTCAGAGCACCTGTGGGGCACCGGGTATAGGAGGCTTCTCCTTAAGATGAACACTGCCAAGGTAATGGGCAACAGAGAAGCAAGAGTGGGAAGGTCTGGAGATCCAGAACATACCAGAAGTTAGGAAGGTTCAATCTAGAGGGGAAGAAAGACGAAATGGGCCATGATAGCTCTCTTCACATATTTGAAAGGTTTCATGTATAAAAGGTCAAAATTACATGAAATAATGCCAAAAAACCCCAACAACACAAAAACCCCCCACAAACAAGACAAGGACTATGTCCAATGGAGTAGAGAAGAGAGTATTGCTCAAATATAGACGTTTTCAGATGAGAACTGTTCAAAAAGGAGCAAGCAGTCTGTCTGTTTCATGGGCAAAGTTAGCTACTGAAAGCAGGTTCTTCTCCTGTCAGAAAAGATGATGACAATGAAAAAGGTGTCACGATCTGTGAACTTAAAAGATTTCCTTCAAAATTATGGCAACATTATCGGCGGTTCAAGCTCACCAGCTGCTCCTCAGAAACCCTATACAGAGTCGCTATGGGTTGGAATCGACTCAACGGCACTTCACAACAACTATATAAATATCCATGGGGGTGGGGGGCAGGGGCTGTAGGGAATGGGACTTAGAGTCTAGAGTCTCTTTTACCTTACCTTGAGTAGGTTACACATCTCCAATGTAATATTCGTATTCATTACCATTGTTATGGGGTCCTGGTGTGACTCTGGGGGATAAACACTTAGACTGCTAATCTCCAGGGCGGTAGTTCAAACCACCAGCTGCTCCTCAGAAACCCTCTACAGGGGCTCTGTGAGTTAGAACTGACTCCACAGCATTTATCCACAACCAATAAGATTAGTATTTGTTAGAAATTATTGGGTGCCCGTTACCAAGGAGAAATGAAAGAGGGCAATGGTTTGCTTTTTCAAACAGTTTTACAGGAGACATATGTATAAAGTAAATTTAATATTATTGTTGTGGGTCCTGGTATGGCGCTGTGGGTTAATGTGCCGGAATGCAAAGTCAGTGGTTCAAGCTCACTAGCTGCTCCTCAGAAACCCTATGCAGGGTCACTGTGGGTCGGAACTGACTCAATGGCACTTAACAACAACAGCTTCAGTTTAAAATACAATTAATGAAGGAAAACCCCCATATTTTGAAAGCATTTAAAGGATGGCATTCAGTTCTCATTTAGTGGACTGACACTGGGACAACCACTCTGGAGTCTGATTTGCTAAAACTGACCACGTGACACACTGTAATTCCACTCTTTGTCAACGAACCAATAACACTGGCTTTCCAAAGTCTTATTTGTATATCTTCCAAAAATTTTGAAAAATAATAGTTTCCTTCCAACGTTCCTAAGCTAACAGCTATTTTCTTTTTTTGGGGGGGGTGCCGAGGGGAGGCACGAGTTAAGTAGCTAAATAATAACTGAACACACAAAAAAAGTAAAAATTATTGAAAGTGCATCACTTACTGAGATGACTGATTTTGTGTTCTTTTTCCTAAATGAACAGGCCCTTTATTAACATGGAGCTGTGGATAAATATTGTTGATTGCTGGCCTAAGGGAGGGTAAGCATTAACCCACGCTATCTTCCTCTGCCAGAAGACACTTCCCTTCACACTGCTTCCTGCATCATTCACGATCTACTATATACATCATCTACTCTATACTTCGGACATACTGTCAGGAGGGACCAGACGCTGGAGAAGGAAAACATGTTTGGTAAGGTGGAGGGTCAGAGAAAAAGAGGAAGACCTCCAGCGAGATGGACTGGCCAAGTAACAGTATCGATGGACTCAAGTGTGGCAAGTTCTGGTTGGGCCAGAACCGGGCAGTGTTTCGTTTTGCTGTGTATAAGGTCACTATGGGTCGGTACTGACTCAATGGCACCTAACAACAACAACAACTCTCTACAAGGAGCTCTGGTAGCGTAATGGTTATGAATCAGGCTGCTAACCTCAGGGTCAGCAGTTTGAAACTACCAGCCATTCCATGGGAGACAGATGGGGCTTTCTGCTCCAGTAAAGATTTATAGCCTCAGAAACCACCTACGGGGTTGCTATGAGTCAGAACTGACTCCATGGCACATAATCACCACCATCACTCTATAGAATCTACATTGCCAAGTCCTTTTTTTTTTCTGGGTGAAAGATGCACCTTTTCAACAATTTATATATCTGCAATTCAGTGATACAGGTTACAGTCAGTGGCTGAATCACCATTGTCACTCACCTTTCCAAAATTTCCCTCCACTCAAGTCTCAACTCACTATCTCTTGAACTGCCCATCCAACTTGATGAATTCAATCTTCGTTTTTACAACCCTTTCTTATTTGGTTTTGCTGTGTGTATTCAACAGGTATCGTCTACTAGGAACTATGTTCCAGTGGAATTTTCTCTTCATTGTTTCCACTGCAGGAAAATGCGCTGGACCGAAGGGTCAGTTTGAGCCAAAAGGTTGGAGGTGCAAACCCTACACAGGGTTGCTATGAGTCGGAACCAACTAGACAATACTTAACAACAACAACAACCTTCCTGCTTCCTCTTCATCCCCACAATGCCCTTGTTTATCTCTCCACCTCCACACATCTCAGCTGTTCTTGTAAAGTCAGGCACTTACTCTGCAGGATGCAATCTTTCCTGACTCCAATCCCACTTTCTCTAGCTCCTGTTTTCCTCTTGCCCTTCCTGATTACGTGCTGCACGTTTGTTACCCATCTCTCCTTAATGATGAGTCACACAGCGTTTCGTCTTTTATACATATGTTCCTTCCCTAATTGTTTCCTGTTGTGTCAACCTGGCCACAATGTGTTCCTATTTAATAGCTCTCAATGAGAAGCCCTGTCATCTTTCCCACCAACCCGGAGGCGGGTTTTGAACCCAGAGGAAAGCAATCAGAGGGACAACTATAAGTTTTCAAGCTCACCACGATGGTTTTCACTTCCACTGTTGTTGACCACAGGAGTAACCGTCCCTTCCTGAAGTCGGATGACTACAGATCAAATATATTTGCAAGAGATACTGTTGTTACAGATTATTAAGACTAAAAGTGTGAAAATGCTTTAGTTTAAGGACCTTTTAGGGTCACAAGATGGATGACTCAAGATCTGGCATCTGGTCAGGAAAGACAAGTCCTAAGATTCTAGGCTTTCATGAAAATCCAGGTTGACATCACAGCAAAACCACCCACAGCCCTCACACATGGCTCAGCCCATTCCTTCCTTTAGTCTTTGCTGTTAGTCGGGCTGCCCAGGGCCTTGAAGATGGACTAGTTCTGTGGCCCCCGTTCTCACCATACCCACTGACAATGCTGCGGATGGCCCCATTCTACAATGGTGGGCGCTAGGCTATGAAGGCAGAGTCACCGAGCAGAAGGCGCGTCAGGGTCTAACAGGAGCTCTACCTGTAGGCCACAGTGCAGGTGTCCTTGTAGCCCTGGAGTTTCATACACACCATGTCGAGGAACTGGTCTGAATACGCACTTAAGTCGTGCATCAGGTTCATGAGGTCTTGTACTGTCTTCTCCACAATGATAGCGCTCTGGACAAGAACAAAAAGAAAGGATATCTGATTCAGTCATGGGAAGGGTGCAGTGATTCAAAGTACCTCAGTGCTCCTGGGAGGCTCTGACATCGAAAAATACCAACCAAATCATAAAGACAGCACAACAGAATTTCCCACAGTGCTGGTCTCCCAAAGACCTGACAGCATGCTTTCTGTATGGAAGGCCACGGGGCAGAGATTTTCAAATTAGTTTCATGGTATTCTTGGCACCCATAAGCTATCTCTGTGGCTTTTAAAAGGGAAGCTTGTTGTTGTTAAGTGCTGTCGAGTCGATTCCGACCCATAGCGACCCATATAGGGTTTTCCAAGGAGCAGCTGGTGAGCTTGAACCGCTGACCTTGCAGTTCAAACGACTTTGCAGTCTGGAGCATTAACCCACAGCGACACACCAAGACTCCAAGAAAGGAAGCTGGAGTCTGCTTCATTATCTCCAGAGTTCTCCCTGGAGATGAGGGGCCTCTGGCATACGCCACAAAGCAAAAGCCTCTGTGACTCGTATTAAAAGTTTTCAAACCATCTATTAGAACAACACAGACTCATATTTGTATTGTGCTTTACAATTCATGGAATGTTTTCACATACACAACATATGTCATCTCACTTAGGATTCACATATTAATCATGATCGTAGTAAACACTGATTGGTGTCTTACAAGCACCAGGTACAATGCTAAGTGCTCTGCAGAATTCATCTCATTGAATCTTCGCAACAGTCCTACAATCAGGTGGGTCCTATAATCACCCCCAGTTTACCGATGAGGAAACATGTGCAGAGAGATGACATGAACAACGCTAGGGCCCCAGTGTTTGCTCTTTTAACTACCTTCTTCTGTTTCAGGGATAGACCTGTGTTCTCCAGACCACAGCCAGTTCATTTTTCATTGTTGATGTTGTTAAGTGCCCTTGAGTCGATTCCGACTCATAACGATCTTATATAGGGTTTCCAAGGAGTGGATGGTGAGTTTGAACTGCTGATCTTGCAGTTTGAACCGACTTTGCAGTCAAGTGCTTATCCTACAGCACCACACCAGTACTCATCAAGTGATGGTGGTGGTGGTAGTGGTGATGGTGTGCCCTGGAGTTGGTTCCAACTCATAGCGACCCTGCACAGGGTTTCCAAGGCTATAAATCTTAACGGGAGCAGAAAGCTTCATCTTTCTCCCACGGAGCAGCTGGTAGTTTTGAACTGCTAAGCTTGAGGTTAGCAGCCCGACTTGTAATTACTATGCTACCAGAGCTCCTTCATTGTTGTTGTTGTTGTTAAGTGCTCTTGAGTTGATTCCGACCCATAGCGACCCTGTACAGGGTTTCCGAGGGTGTAAATCTTTACGGGAGCAGAAAGCCTCATCTTTCTCCCGCGGAGCAGCTGGTAGTTTCGAACCGCTGACCTTAAGGTTCGCAGCCCGATTTGTAACC